CTTTCTTAAACTGATTTCTGGCATCATCTCGCACGGCCAGGCCGAGAAAAATCAGAAGTCCAACAGGGTTTCAGCAGTTCTGCTCCCAGAGCAATAGCAGACGGATCGAAGCTGAGCTTGAGTGCTGGAAATCCCAGATGTCTGTCTGTCACTCCAGAAAAGTGTGCAGTTTAAATTCAGCCGAGCCTGTCTCTTTGACCAGACCAGATTTCTGAGGTAAACTCCACTGTACACTGTAAAAAATGATTGTGATTTTAACAGTAAAAGACTGTAAAAATGCTACAGTAAAAACCTGTTACAGTTTCCATACTATATACGGTGAATAAATGTAATTACATGTAATGTAATTTTACAGTAAAATACTGTTAAAAATACGTTTTTTGGAAGTGAAAAAGAAAAAGTCATTGTATAATTTACAGTGAAAAAACGTAAATTGACACTCCCAGAATTCCCTACATTACACTTCATATTTGATGTTTTTTTTTGTTGAAATAACATGTTTCTTCTTTGTTTTTTCTCATTAGATGTGTACAATAGGGTTTAATCTTACATCTAATGTTGTTAAATTCATGTTTATTGCATTATTTCAGTATCATGTGTGTCACCGTGATGGGGTTTAGTGTTTGTGTGAATGACACTGTGTGCACCTTCTATATATAAGTATTGTCCTCCTCAGCTCGTAGACAAGCTGTTTGTGATGAGCTTTGCTTCATCATGTGACTTTCTCATCACCACCTGTTTTTGGTGGTTATCAGTGCATTACAATGGTTCAAAACAGATATTAGTACTTCAATATGTTGGTTTATTAACATTACATCAGTTAATGAAATAAGGTATTTTATTGTGAATTTAAGTTAAATCTGTAAAACCTAAAATGTTGCTACCATATTTTTTACGGTGAAGTTCTGGCAACCACATCTGCCGGTATTTTACTGTAAATGTCACAGTTTTTTTGAGAGAACTGCACATACAACTCCACATTACACCACAGTGCGTTCAATGTATTTAACATATTCTTTGCATAATTAGTTCAAAATATGTTCATTTATATTAATAATAATTTGAATGACAGATATGTTGTATGAGAGAAACCAGGTTGACTTAAAAGTACCATGGTATTTTGTACAAAATAACATTGGAATAATTTGAAATATAATACCATTTCAAAAAAATGCTGTTCTTTTGAACGTTCTATTCATCAAAAATCATCTGTATCATGGTTTCCACAAAAATACGAAGCATCAACTGTTTTTAACACTGATGATAATAAGTGTTTCGTGAGCAGAAAATCAGCATATTATACTGATTTCTGAAGATCATGTGACACTGAAGACTGGAGTAATGATGCTGAAAATACAGCTTTGAAATCACAGGAATAAATTACATTTGAAAATATATTCAAATAGAAAAGTTATTTTAAATTGTAACAACATTTCACAATATTATTGCTTTACTGCATTTTTTATCAAATAGATGCAGCCTTGGTGAGCAGAAGAGACTTTGAATGGTGGTTTACCTTAGGGTACCATAAAAATACCATGGTGCGAATATAGTAATCACAATACTATGGTATTTTAGATGTGGTACCATGCTTGTATAATGTTTTTGGACATGTGCCATGAAAATACTATGGTATCAACGTGGTAAATTACATTTCTTTGGCCTTTTTGGACATATACCATGGTAAAAACATTAGAGTACCATAAGAATCAGTTAGAAAACGGACCAAAAAGTGCCATTGTATTACCATGTGATACCATCACTGTACCATGGTACCGCCTACTCTTTTATTTTTTATTTTTTTAAAAGCAAGTGAACATATTTGTAAAATATACTTACTGCACGTCTTCTTTCTTTTCACAGCCTTCATCTCTCTGTTTTTCATATGAACACACATGTAATGAGACACATGACTGCGGAAGGAGGAACAATATATATGGCAATCAAAAGAGTTATTTATAATATTCATCATACATTTTTATTCACAGTATGCTAGCATCTTTCCCCTCTAAAAATCATCACAGAAAAATGGTTGGGAATAACAGAATATTACTCTGCAGTGTTGGAAGGCTGCTGTGAAAGCGTGCTGAAATATTAATGGCAGCTGAAATACTGAGCCTGTCTTTAGTGAAAAGTTTTCAGCAGCACTGCTGCTGTGTCTATAGAAGGCTGTTTACTGCTTAATAATACAACATGTGCATTTCAGAATCAGAACGTGTGGAGAGCTACACGCTAACAAGTGCTTCAAATGTGAACACACACACACACACACGTTCTTGTAGCGACTGTCACTTTAGACGCCCCCCTTACCTGCCAAATGAGCCAAACAAAATGAATTGAGAAAGACTGCTCCTTCTGCCAGCTGACAGGCCGGCTTAATTGAAACTATCAATCACAATTCCTCTACATATTACACACACACACACTAAGTGTTCCCATCATATAAATCATACACACATGCTCTGTTCCTGATGCTATGAGCTGCCTATACTGCCTACACAGATGGCTACAAATAGAATCTGAAAGTGAACAACTTGCTCTACATAGGCAGCAACTCTTACGTCAAACAAATAGCATACAAGTCAAGGTGAGACCTGAGGTTCAATTGATTTCAATAATTTGCCATTAACATGCTGCTAATGATGTGGAAATCTAAAAATACACTATATCACACATAAATATTGGGTAAAATCATGTGTGTTTAATTAGCCTGAACTATTTTTTTATACGGACGCACGATTGGTTATCGGCCGATATTGGCTGACTTCCTTTAATTTATCGATCAATATTATATATGTAATTGTGTATTTCCTCAAATTTTACATTTAGATTCAGAACATCTAACACTTGCTTATGTTAATCTTTAAAAGTAGGCTACTAATAATTCACCTTGATAAACGCAATCTTTAGCATATCTCAAAATGTATATGAAAACGTAATATAATTATAGAATTGTACTTTTTTGAATGTATCTTCATATTTTTCTCAATGAATATTTACATATTGAAAATGTATATCGAGTATTATCAATATATTCATGTTTTACCATGTGATACCATCACTGTACCATGGTACCGCCTACTCTTTTTTTTTTTTTATAAAAGCAAGTGAACATATTTGTAAAATATACTTACTGCACATCTTCTTTCTTTTCACAGCCTTCATCTCTCTGTTTTTCATATGAACACACATGTAATGAGACACATGGCTGCGGAAGGAGGAACAATATATATGGCAATCAAAAGAGTTATTTATAATATTCATCATACATTTTTATTCACAGTATGCTAGCGTCTTTCCCCTCTAAAAATCATCACAGAAAAATGGTTGGGAATAACAGAATATTACTCTGCAGTGTTGGAAGGCTGCTGTGAAAGCGTGCTGAAATATTAATGGCAGCTGAAATACTGAGCCTGTCTTTAGTGAAAAGTTTTCAGCAGCACTGCTGCTGTGTCTATAGAAGGCTGTTTACTGCTTAATAATACAACATGTGCATTTCAGAATCAGAACGTGTGGAGAGCTACACGCTAACAAGTGCTTCAAATGTGAACACACACACACACACACGTTCTTGTAGCGACTGTCACTTTAGACGCCCCCCTTACCTGCCAAATGAGCCAAACAAAATGAATTGAGAAAGACTGCTCCTTCTGCCAGCTGACAGGCCGGCTTAATTGAAACTATCAATCACAATTCCTCTACATATTACACACACACACACTAAGTGTTCCCATCATATAAATCATACACACATGCTCTGTTCCTGATGCTATGAGCTGCCTATACTGCCTACACAGATGGCTACAAATAGAATCTGAAAGTGAACAACTTGCTCTACACAGGCAGCAACTCTTACGTCATACAAATAGCATACAAGTCAAGGTGAGACCTGAGGTTCAATTGATTTCAATAATTTGCCATTAACATGCTGCTAATGATGTGGAAATCTAAAAATACACTATATCACACATAAATATTGGGTAAAATCATGTGTGTTTAATTAGCCTGAACTATTTTTTTATACGGACGCACGATTGGTTATCGGCCGATATTGGCTGACTTCCTTTAATTTATCGATCAATATTATATATGTAATTGTGTATTTCCTCAAATTTTACATTTAGATTCAGAACATCTAACACTTGCTTATGTTAATCTTTAAAAGTAGGCTACTAATAATTCACCTTGATAAACGCAATCTTTAGCATATCTCAAAATGTATATGAAAACGTAATATAATTATAGAATTGTACTTTTTTGAATGTATCTTCATATTTTTCTCAATGAATATTTACATATTGAAAATGTATATCGAGTATTATCAATATATTCATGTTTAGTAAATATTTATTTAAAATATTACATGTAGATATGCATTTTTAAAATAACCTTAAATGTAAGTTTGTGAGCAAATCTCACAAATATGAATATATTATATATAATTTTTCTTTCTTTTTTCAAAATATTTAGTATTTAAATACTAAGTATAGTAAATATTATTTATTAAAAATAATACATGTAGATATACATTTGTATTTAAATATTGTGTGTTTGTGTATAGATTGCCAAAATGAGGTATCATAGAAGCAACAGTCTTTAAAAACTGCCTGTGCACCATAAAATGTTGCCTACGTAGACAGCTCACTAGGTTTGGAACAGAGTCACACTCTTTTTGTGTTCTTTTCCCAGTAGACCCATATCCATTTTCATCACAGAGCATCAAATATGAATGAAAACATGCAACTCCGACACAGTGTTTAAATAGAACCCGAAGCATCTCCGCAGGGATTGACAGATGCAGACAAGACTGCAGGATGGAGAGAACAAGAAAACAAAAGAAAGAGTGCATCCCCACTCTCTGGAGAGGAAAGGGTTAACCCCATTACGACAAACCAATCAGAGCAGGGAGCAACACTGCAAAACCGCCGCAGTGAGTGAGAGAGGGAGACTAAATAGAGAACGAGTGAACGAGAGAGAGAGAGAGAAGGGGACAAGCAAGGATGAGGAGGCGCAACAGAGGGGTGCAACAGCAACACGTCAATGCAACACAGTTTGAAGAGAGCGTGTGTGATCAAGACGCTAGACAGTGAAGGAAACAGTTAGCAGGACAGTAGATCAAAGTCAGAGGACGTCTGTTTCACTCCGCTGACACTGCTGACAGTTCCCACAGGCAGCATTTGATTCATGCTCCTCAGGGGGACATGCAACGGCTGCAAAAGTGTGTGCAGAAGATGCACTTGTGGATCTCAGATGATGCTTTGATGAGGCTGTAGCTACTCTACATTGCATGACAGATGAGAACTCTAGGAGCGCAAAGGTAAGCGGGCGATATTGAATAACTTTGGCAATAAAATGGGATTGAAGGAGTATGCATGCCACTCAGCTGTTTTGGATATAAAACCATTTAAACAGTTATAGGCTAATCCAAAGGAGCAGATGTCAAAACTTAGAAGATAGCAGATATATGGCTCCCTGGGCAACACCAGTATCTTTTAGACAGCAATCTATCAAAATTGGAGTTGCCCTAGTAAATCAAACTCAAATAAATAAAAAAATATATATAGAGGAAATAAAAAGATGCTTATTGCAAGAATGCAACCAAACAGTCAAGATTGAAGGAACCGAAGGTAAAAGTTTAAGAATTTGTCATTGAAAACCCCAGTTGGATCTGAGTATATGAGGGGACGTGTCCCCCTCAACAACTACATTTTGTGATTAACTTGCTGCCCGTAAACAACAATCTGACTTTAGTCTATTGATCCACGTCTCCGCTGACAAATTTTGCACCCAAAACCCAGTCGATTCTGTTTACGGTTTCTCCCAATTTGTCAAAGTCTGCTGGACTGTAACATCTGGGAAAAATTTACAGTGTAAAATCTCATTCACGGCTGGAACACGATCACCTCGTTACACGTGATCGAGCCGTTGACTGAAAAATTATGTGAGAAAGTACAGACATAAAACAACACATGTGCTTGCGTTACCTTCCCTAAAAGGCATTGCTTTGGAAATGAGTGTTTGTAGATTGTTTCCAAGATGCGTAGGCCCATCCATCAAGATGTACCTTCACATGGACGTTAAGCAAGACCAGAGCTTATGCATTTCCGCAGACCACTCGGGAAAGATGAATGGATAACACATGGAAGTCCTTACTTGATGATGGATTGGATGCAGGCTTAATGAATAATTGATTGTTCACTTATCAATACTTATTGCTTTTTTCTTGGCAGGATTGTAGGATTAAAGAGCTGAAGAAAACTTCTTCCAAAGTGAAGTGTGGCCCATCTTACCCAACTCTCTGGAAGACATGCATTAGCGTTGGGTTTGTCCGGCCAGCAAGGATGTTCCCTAGAGTAGATTTCCCAGGTGAAGACATTCCCACGCACACCACGTTTTAATCATGTGCTTCGGACAATGTTGACGATGCAGCCTAAAGGTTACCTACTGTGAGAGGACAGGAAATTACATTTCCAACACCCAGAATGCACCACCCCCTCGTGCTGACCTAAACAATTCTGTGACCTTGGGTTCTTCGGCAGATGGCACATGCAAATCAGCAAACACAAATCAATATGGATTTATCCCCTTCTAGGGCCCATAAAAATTCAATAACGGGAATACATCAGCATTGAAGGAACAGTATGGGACCAGGTTACTGGATTTCTTTAATGGTATTGAGGGAGATGAAAGCAACTTCCTAACCCTAGCGTGGATATAATAATCAATCAAAACAATTGTTTTCAGTTGTCAAATTAGTTAAAATAAATGGACAGTTGATCTCTGAATATCTCGCCTTTTTCCTTGGACTCCTAAAATAACCAGAATGAGATCTCTGATCTCTGAAAGAGAACAAGAATGACACCCCTTTGTTAGGTCTGGACATGGCAGGGGTCCAAAAGTATTGTTTGGTTTAGTAATAATAAAAGAAATTGCTGCCAAATCGTCCGCCCTGGCCATTAAGCGCGAAAATCGCTTGGAATAAGACGGATTAAGAAGTGCAGAATACTTCCTTGAAAGGCCATGCATGGGGTTGATGTACAACTACCCCTTCCAGACTCTACCGACTCAATCGCTGACTCCCGAGGCTGAGAAAGAAGCTGGAAGGGGAAGGGTAAGTCAATGTGTAAAATAAACTACTGGACAGCTGTCATTAGTCGCCAAGGGCGTCCAAAAAACAAGCTTGTTGATCTGTGAGGTGTTGTGTTTTAGCTCATGAAGTCATTAGAGTTTCCATTTGGTTTCACTCCACTGTGTCAGTCAGTCTATATCAAAACACAAAGAGTTATTAGTTCCAAGTTGGCACCTTGACGCATCCATCTACATTGGAGTAAATTACAAAAGCCAGGTTCATACTTATTATCTCAACGATCCTCTCTCTTTCTAAATTCTCCCTCTATGTGATGAATGAAATACAGCACTAAAGACAAATGGAGCAATCCATCGCTGCACAACTAATGAAAATGCATTGTGGACAAAAATAATAGCTAAAGTGTGTCTATTCATAGCAGCGCCCAACACAGGATGGCCAATGCATTATTAGCCAACGTGCACGCGAACATCAAATGTAAAGCCATTAGCAGGCCCAGGGGAATCTACAGACGTTTTTGTGCATTTTCTGAACTGATCTTTATTGAAAACCAATGGAGTAAAACCTGGTCACAGAAACCACATGGGTCTGATCTTTGGATTAGAACAAGGGGAAAACATGCTTTATCTAATTCAGGGGTCTCCAAACTCGGTCTTGGAGGGCTGGTGTCCTGCAAAGTTTAGCTGCAACTTGCCTCAACACACCTGCCTGGAAGTTTCTAGTATGCCTAGTAAGACCTTAATTAGCTGGTTTAGGTGTGTTTAATTAATAAAGTTATGCAAACTTCAGACTTGGAGTGAATGAGTCTGAATTTGAATTAATTTGGCTACAGCCCACAGGAAGTTGAATTGCAATGACAGTAAAAGGAATCTAGTGAATTTTATTTCTAAGAAATTCCACACAAGCAATGCATTCTGGGAAATGCAGTGTTCTATCTATCTATTGTTATATCAGCAAGACATTCAAACTTCACATTCAAGATATTTACATTTTACAAGAGTCTTGACAAACTTTGAATTTCTAGGTAAAAATTACAGTTATATTAATTTATTTGACTTTCATTTCCTTGTAATTCTCACATTCAAATCTGAATCGCAATTCTACATCCTGTTTGCTACATAAATTCCAATTTAGGAACTGAACTGGAATTCGAATGGATTCTCAATTCAATTCTGAATGACACAACGCTGTTCAAAGTGTCTGGTCTTCCTACACATTTCTCTGATTGTTCATCCTGCTCTTTTTACCTTTTAGGATAATGCACGTCCCTCCCGCAACGGAGGAAGAAAGCACCATGAGTAACGTCACAGTTCTCGACATCACCGAGTCCGTGAGTCCCGCCATGACGGCGGCCGGCCCGTACCCTTACCCACTCAGCTTCCAGGTGTCCCTGACTGGATTCCTCATGCTGGAGATCGTCCTGGGACTGAGCAGCAACCTGACCGTACTGGCCCTCTATTGCATGAAGTCCAACCTGGTCAATTCCGTCAGCAACATTGTCACCATGAACCTCCACGTGCTGGACGTGTTGGTGTGCATTTGCTGCATCCCTCTGACGATTGTGGTGTTAATGCTGTCTCTGCAAGGCGACACGGTGCTCGTCTGCTGCTTCCACGAGGCCTGCGTGTCCTTCGCAAGTGTGGCTACGGCGGCAAACGTGCTAGCTATCACTTTGGACCGATATGACATCTCCGTTAAACCGGCCAATCGTGTGCTGACTATGGGACGAGCGGTGGCTCTGTTGGGTTGCATTTGGGTGCTGTCCTTCTTCAGCTTCTTGGTGCCATTTATCGAGGTGGGATTCTTGGGACCGGAGCCCACCAAAGCAAATCAGACCGCCGTTGTGCACGTCAACGAATATTACACCGAACTTGGTCTGTACTACCACCTAGTGGCCCAAATCCCCATTTTCGGTTTGACTGCCGTCATCATGTTGGTGACATACGCCAAGATTCTGCAGGCACTCAATATCCGCATTGGTACGCGCTTCCACACCACGCAGAAGAAGAAGAAGAAAATGAGGAGGAAAAAGAACTTCTCCCTCATGTCAACATCTGAGCAGCAGCTGCCCGAGATCACAGACGCCTCGCAGAGCAGCAACCGTGGAAATGCTCCGCTTGGCATGCGAACGTCTGTCTCGGTGATCATCGCCCTGCGAAGGGCCGTCAAACGCCACCGGGAGCGGCGTGAGCGCCAAAAGCGTGTTTTCCGCATGTCGTTGCTCATCATCTCCACGTTCCTCCTCTGCTGGATGCCCATCACCATTTTGAACACTGTGATCCTCAGCGCAGGCCCCAGTGACCTCACCGTCAAGCTCCGACTGGGTTTTCTGGTCATGGCCTACGGCACCACGGTCTTCCATCCTCTCTTGTACGCCTTCACGAGGCAGAAGTTCCAGAAAGTCTTGAAAAGTAAAATGAAGAAACGGGTGGTTTCCATCATCGAGGTGGATCCGCTGCCGAACAACACAGTGATTCGAAACTCCTGGATCGATCCCAAACGGAATAAGAAAGTGACGTTTGACGATCACGAAGCCAGGCAGAAATGTCTATCATCCGAAGATGCAGACTAAAACCACTTTGCGACCTCCAGGACAGGGACTAGTTCTCATAAAATCACTGTTATACATAAAGCGAACCATGTGATGTGAATATTAGCCTTACATGAGCATATATTGAAGAATCGGTTACTATTTATAACTAACTTGGAATATAATATGATAGGTTTCATAGATGGTGCATGTCCTTTATAAACCACTGTATGTACTGTAAATACATGAAATTTGTACATACTCTTTATCAGTTATGTACCTCATTTATGACCGTCTATACATGTATTTATAATAAACTAGGTGGGGAAAAAGACGAAATCCATCTGCTTTTTGACTTGAACGCAGATGCTATGAACATAGACATCATCTTGTGTAGGAATATTAACATACTGTTTCTGTGGAAGAAAAAAGGAGATTTATTGACTAATAATCACATAGCAATTCATATGCTAAGTTCCAAACACTAACAAAATACCAAAAAGCACTTACAAAAGTCTTAAATGATACCTCTTTTGCGTTGACTAATTGCATAATATCCGTCTTAAGTCATCTTGTGTGTGAATACGAAGAGATTATCGTTTCTGTGGAACAACAAAGGAGAAATATTGACGAATCATCACAAAGTAATTAATATGTTAAGGTCCAAAAACAATGAGCAAAACACCAAAAAGCACTTACAATAGTCGCCTTGTGTTGCTACACTCCAAGTCTTCTAAAGTCATTTGGCACTTTGCATGAGGAACAGACCGAAATGTAACATCTGGTAACCCTGTAAAGCCTTGTGATTCGTGAAGAAAAGGAGGGAAGATGCTGCGAATATCATTGTTTTAGAGCTGTCAAATCTGAGGAAACATCTGGCTCATTTTGACACTGCTGTCAAGGACAAAATGTCCCTCATTTTGCATTCAGTGAAACACGGAAGTTAAGCTCCCACTCACCAAATCTGCATACATATTAATGAATAATTGCCCAGGTCAGCGCTGTAGCTCTTAGAGGTCTATTGTGCACCATTACGAGAACATTTGCCCTTGCATGTTCAGTGGGAATTATTTTGTATGGTCAAGAATGAAATGCCAAGCCGAATTAGATCGCAATTAGAATGATTCTCAAAGAAATCAGCAACCAGTTCAATTTTTATTCAGTTTTTTATTTTGCAAATTAAATGTTTTAGTTGATTCACAAGCTTGTGGTCTGAATTGAATAAGTCCATGAAATAATACAAAAACAATTCACTGACAACACACATTTCTATTCATTCTCACCAGTTGCACTGCATGTTTAGTGTTATTAATATACTATTATAGCATTTATGAATATTTTAAAGTTCATTTTTCATGTTTTCAATTTTAGTCTAGTAATTTGTTTTATTTAAATGTTTTTTTATTTTATTTAAATGTATTTTTTATTTCAATTAATTATAGTACTTAGATATAGATATATTATAATTTTATTACTTCAACTTACTTATTTTCAGCAACATTTCAAATTTTTTAGGTTTCATTTTTCATCTGATATATATATATATTATTTCAATTAATGAAAATTAATTTGAATAATTTTAGTTTGAGTTAATAACAACACTGGGATGAAGCTATAGAAAGATAAATGTGACTAAACAAAACCTGATTCATGAACAAATGACTTTTACGAGCTGGTTCTTTTAAATGATTCAAAGGGACTCCGTTAGAATGGTTCTACTGAATCACTCACTCCTAGTTTGGAGCTATTTTTGATTTATTCAGCTTTTATTATGTCTAACTCAGAATGAACGGTGTACTTAAGCTGTGCGAGGCTTACTGACTTACAACATGCTTACAAACTGGTTATTCATACAACAACATGCAATTAACGATTCAGAACAGAGCTATGTTTTACAAAACGTTAATTTAAAAAAAAAAAAGCAATTAAATATTTTTAAGTACCATTCAACATGTAAGGAATCTCAATGCAATGGTGCAGGAGAGAAAAGAGGTGCATGAACCACAGGAGAAGGAGCACAAGGGCTTCGAGATGCTCATACATCAGTCAGGATGACAGGTAAAGTGCACTTGGCTTAAAAGGGCCATCTGTGGGTAAACAACACAGCCAGAGAGATGGTGTCAATACGCCGTTAATTATGCAATTTAGAATCTATCGAAAGCTCTTACACTGTACATTAAACTGACAGTTTTGAGAACTGCTTGTGCATCCAAACATGGCCAACTCTGTCTTGTCCCCAACATCAAAAGCAGTATCAAGCCAGCATTCTGCGGCGTCAACGAGTCATGTTATTTGCTAGGATAAAATCATATGTTGGATTTGAAATGCCCTCGGCAGACATCTGAAGCCAGTTTCACGGTGTTGTAAAATTCAGGTCACACGGTGACCCCGCAATTCACGGCTCTGCCTCGTTCCAAGCGACGGCACTTCAAACCTTTCGTCACACCTCGCTCTCATAAGATTTGCACCTCTCTGATCGTCCTATAAAACTGTAATTGAGAATCATCAAGCCCTCTATAAACAGCGGTTTATAAATGTCACCTGTTTTAAATCTTTCTTCAGATATAAAGCTCGTGTCAAGCTAGATTTACAGATTCAGGGGCAGACGAGGATGTTGTGGTTTCAGGTTTGTCATTTGTAAGCATCTGAACTGTCTATTGCACTCTGGATAACTGGATAAGCCCAGTTTACAAGCACTTAATGCTTGGAAAACAGAGGGAACAATTTGAATTGAAACCAATTAAAACCTTGTTCTCGGTCACACTGCATCTTAGCAGTCTTTAAAAACATCTCGAGGACAAGCTGTGGAGAAAAGCAGAGAATATGGCTCACATTTGTTAGCGAGTAAACTTCATCCTGTCCAGAAGCAACATTGTGCAACTGTGGAATGAAATGAATACGGCTACTATAGAGAATACTGTAGCTGTCGAATATCATAATACAGATCTTTTACATGATTAAATATCTACCATTTTAACATGTATTTAGAGGGATTGTTCACCCTAAAATCATTTACCGGTACTTGTTTTTGTGTCTTTTATGCCATATGTTATTTCTATGCTATTTATATACTGTAATCATTTTTATAAATATTTTGAATTAGCTTTTTTTTAATTTTCATATTTTTTTGCTTTTATTTTCATTTTAATTTAAGTTTTGGTAATTTTGTTTTTGATTCTGTAATTTTTATAAGTTTTTTTTATTCTATTTGGTTTAATTTATTTTCAGTTTTAGAATTTTTCATTTGATTTCTTCAACTTAACCTTATTTTTTTTTATGGTAATTCGTAAAACTTTATTTTTTCTGTGGAACACAAAATAATCCTGGTTGCTTTTTTCTTATATAATGAAAATGAAAGAAAATAAGAAAATAAATCTTATTTTTATGCTATTTATATACTACAGTATTTAGGAATACTTTGAGTTTAAGTTTTAATAATCTTTTTATTTTCCTTTGTTTTTATTTCTATTTAGCTTAAGTATTATTCGTTTTAGTACTTCAACTTAAACTTGTTTTATTTCTGTTTTTATGGTTATTCGATTCAGCTGAATGATTCATTTGTGAATCGGACTGATCCTTTTCTCAAGTTCAACTAACTTCATTCAACGATCAGCTCGCTTAAAGCAAATACTTTTTTAGCAAATAACTTCAATTTCAATCTGTTACTCAAAATCAAGTTTTTGTATTGTTTTTGATGCATGAAAATTACTGTAAATGCATGTAAAAGAGTGACATATACATAAAATGTTATACATTTGTGTTCATACTTAAGGTTTTGAAACATCATGAGGTTAAGTAATTGATAATGGGCTGAACCACTACCATTAAGTAACATTTTAATAAAACATTAAGCTAGGAGCCAATTGATGTTGATTTTAATAATTACGGCCATTTTATCCAAGAATATTTAATCAGACATGCTTTCATAATGCATGCAATAGAGGGTTAAGGCAGAGAGTGCAAGGGATGTGAAATTTGCATGAACTGCTGTGCTGTATCTGTGTTCATGTTGGTAGCACACGTTCTTATTCATTTCACCCTCTCATACAATACAATACTGCACTGACAGAACTACAGCCCCCTATAGGGGATCAATAAAATAATAAACCAGACACAGGCTATAGATGCAAATGCATCAGCTGGATAATATAAGGTCACTGCTCATTTTACAACTGCTCGTGTTTGTTTCATACTGAACTTATTGACATTCTGCTCATCCAAGGCTTGGGAAAATGGCAGTACTGAGAGGGTTGGTTGTCCTTTTAACCTTCTAGACCAGTGTGGTTCCATAAGACCTCAAGAATAATAGATGTAACGTTCAGTATCTGGCCACAGACTGTAGAAGACAGTGCCATCTAGTGGAAACATCTTATTTAAAGTTGCACAACAAAGAACCTACATAAACATATTCATAATTTCACCCATCCAACACTTGCTTACCAGTGGATGCTCTGCAGTGAATGGGTGCCGTCAGAATGAGAGTCCAAACAGCTGATAAAAACATCACAATAATACACAAAAGTTATGCAATATCCAACTTTACATATAGAGCTGTGCTGTTTACAGAAACATTCTGTCGCTACTTCCGTTTTATTGTGAATTCACGATGGAGATCATCAAGCATTTGCACAAAATCCTGAGGTACAAGTGGAGACTTTGCAGGTCAATCAGTCAAAAATTAACCTGAGAGACTTTGGTAAGAATAATGTACCAAATGATGAGCTTACCAACATGTGTTTGTGGTGGAAAGACCTCGAGTTGGTCAATAAATGAAGGTGCAACAGGTTCCTCAACCTGGGGAAGATGAGGAACCTGAGGTTCTCCAGTGGGATTTGGACCCATTCGCATCTTGGAAGGCATTTCATCAGGCAAACCCACAGATGAAGCCGATCCAGATGACACAGCAGACTCCTCCAAGACAGATGGGATGGGAGCAGATATGGAGATCGGGGAGGGTGAAGTCTCAGGATCAACAGGTAAGTCCGAAAGCTTGCCAGCTGTTAGTTGAGCAGCTAAATTACAGGAGGAGAGAATCTCTACAGGTTCAATCGGTTCAGCAGGTGGAATGAGAAGTTCAACAGAGGACTCTAAAGATGTTACAGGTTCAGTAAGTGGGTCTGTGGTTGTTGAAGGTGGAATGGCTACGGGTTCAGCAGTCGAGGTTCTGGTAGGAGGTGGTGTTAGGTGCTCAACGCTTGGTTCAACTAGTGGAGAAGCAGTTAGTGGTTCACTTGACTCTTGTGAAGGAACATTTATGGGTTCAGCAGGCAGCACAGGTTGAGAGTCAGGTACAAGTATGGCTACATGCTCATCACCTGTTGGTGGAGGAGTCGGAAGACCCTCAGGTGACTTTACAGGTGAAGCAGGTGCAGATGTTTCCTCAGTCACAGGTACTAAAGGCACGAAAGGTGTTACTGGCTCTGAAAGAGGAGGAGGAAACAAAGTACTGGCATACAAGGGAGGATGAGGGATTATGGGTACATGAAGTTCACCTGAAACCAACCGCTCAACCAGAGAAGCTACAGTCGATGACTGCGTAGAGGATTTGGTTGTAGCTTGCAGTCGAACCACAGGTGGAGGCACCTTCATGCGATCAATCACTCGCTCTGAAAGCTGTTTAGTGTCAGATCAGAAATACCATTGATATACAATTTCCCTTCTTTTTTAAAATATGTGCGCTATTATGTTTTATATGATGAAAACTTGAGAACGTTTTTCTGCATCACCAGGATTTCAAATAACTATTCTTCCAGATTATTGTATTCCAAAATGAATTAATTTACTAATATTTTTTGGTCAGATTTTCAATACAATTTGACTTGAGCTGGGATGCATGGATCTCCATTAGATGATATTACTTTTTTTTAATGTGTGTTTTACGTGATCTCAAATAATCTGGGAGTTGGTTGAAAGTGCATTCATTTTGAAAAAAAGTACTGCAGATGGGAATACCATTGTACACTGTTATATACCATTGAATGGAAACCAAATTCATGTACAATGGTATTACCATGGGACACATCCAAAAACATGGTGTTACTATGGTAAGTCCAACAAAATCTGGTAGTACCGTGTTTTATTAAAAGGAAAAGTAGTGCTATGAGGTTGGTGTGGGGCTATACGGTCATTAATATTAGTTGGTTTTGAAAGCAATGTTTACAGGCAATCTGAAAGTTTACCTACCACTCATGTCTAGGTGTAGTATGTTTAGTATGCAGTAGGGTCGTGACCTGTAGGTTATATATATAGGCTATATATAAGCTACATGCCCTGCATTTTGTTCAGCAGCCATAGAATCTCCACAAACTATGCATTTCTTGCAATTTACACTATATGTTTCAAAACCGAATCACTGAAGCTCTTGCAGAGCAAACATGTAACAACAACCTTACGTTGTTAAGCACGCATCTGCAAGTTTTGCATGAACGACACAGATGATATAGTTGAAATCACTTAATAAAGGAACCAGAAAACACTTTTCCTTAAGTTTAATGTTAAATGCAACCCTCTCCTCATCGACCGGGTCGAAGGAAACGTGGCGAGAGCTTCTGTTTCCCCTCATCTCTGCAGTTTATTGCGATAATTATCGTCAATAAAACACAGAAATTGGGATGTTCAGTATTCAGGGCTTCGACATCTAATGCCCAAGAGCACGTGTTCAGCTCAGCCCTTCGCACTTCCACACCCGGAGGAATTTAAACCTCTCGAGAGCCAGTCATTCATTTTTGTCAGCTAATAAACGTTTATAATTAGCAATAAATGTGATTGTTAATATATCTGGGAGCGTACACGCTTTATTTACGTTTATAAGAACTTGAAGTGGACATTTTGTGTTTTTTCAAGATATTAAATATTTGGGTGTGTGGCTAATATGATATATTAATAATGCACGATTAATATAAATTATTATTCAAAATGTTGAAAAACTAATTTCAGCACTAAAAAAATGCAAAGCTTACTCTTTTTGAACAGGCTTATTAATTATTATTAACTTCACAGTACTAACAGTAACTTGTATTTTGGTGGAAAATATGGTTGTCAGCTAATGAATGTTCACAATTAGAAATGAGTGTTATTTAATACATCTAGGAGCATACAAGCTTATTTAAGTTTATAAGTACTTAAAGTTGACATTCTGTGCTGTTTCACAATACCACTTGTATATGTCTGGGGGCGTGGCTAATGTGATATATTAATAATACATGATGTTGTTATTATTATTCAAAACATTAACATTGTTCTGCTTTTTTTTTTTTTTTACCACAATCTCATTAAATTATCATGATTTTACAGTATTAACAATAACTGCATTAACTATTGTGTTTTGGTGGAAAAATATGGTTACCATGATGAATTGTACTGTGTGAGTTTATGAATTCTACATGAGTAACAAACATTACCCTGGATATTATCCACTGATCGATATAATGACTCTCTATTACAGATCTGTGGTATTATTGATGCTTCAGATAAGAAGTTCATACTTAATACTTTCAAAATCCAATAAAGCCCATACAATGAATAGAACATATAGAAAAATAGATTCATCCTAGCAATTATGAACTGTACCCAGACAGCACACCTACGTCTGCAAGACGTCTGTTAAAGATCGCTTCATCTGGAAAGCATCTGCTGTGTACAAACATCTGCTAGACGTCAGTTTTACATACATTCGAAATCATAAACATCTTCTAAAAGCCTATTTGACATCTGATAGGAAACGTCCTGTAGACATATTGCAGATGAGCAAACTCAAGTCTTGTAGACGTAAACGCAGACGTCAAATAGACGTCTCTGTGATGTATGTGTGCTATCAGAGTGAGTGAATAGCCTACACACCAGGTGCACGAAAAAAAAATGCAGCTGAGATTCAAAGAATTGCACAAAAGACATGATTTCCTTCACTTTATGAGGTCTCAGTTTGTGTTAGCTGATAAACAAAGTTTCTTACACAAATCTATGCCAAATGACAAATTCTAGCCTCATGAACATAACATCTGTAGACATTTTCTACAGTATTAGCAGTCATGTTTTCTACAGTATTGCTTTTACTCACCCGCCTGAGGCGCTAGTGGATGGCGACTACAAAATGTCAAATATGATAGATGACTAGAACTTAAAATGCCTATGCATTAGCTTTCGTAGTCTTATTTACTTTATTATTTCACCCGAACAAAGACACATGTAAGTGGGCCAACATATTTAATGACTTACTAAAAACGGCTGTGTTTAAAAATGGAAAAGAAATAAATACCGCTAACTTGTAGTCAACACGAACACTTATGAAAAATAGCTCTGCTGTAGTCCTGCTAACAAATATAGCAAAACTTGACCATTATGTTAGTTTTAATGTGCGAAGAAGTAGATCTATGTGACTTTCTTGAAGTAAATATAATGCCAGGAACAAAATGAGTGTCTATTTCTGCAAAAACAGATCTAGATACTAAAAACAGGTCATGAATTGTGAAAGCAGACAAACACTCTAACTTACACTCACACCTGGCTCAAAAACAGCTCATACAATTGGCCCAAATGTACCTCAAGCACTCATCCATTCACAGTGAATAACTTAAAAATGAATAGTGATGGGACACACACTAACAAAACACACTCACACGAAGCTAGAGGTATTACAGTTCCCTTACAATTTACTGTGGAAGCTTGTTTCCACCATGGAATGAGAAAATTAAAAAGGTAATTGTGACTTTTTATCTCACAATTTGGACTTTTCTGACTCTCTTGCAATTCTGAGTTTATATCTCGAAATTCTGAAGTTTTTTTCTCAGAATTCCGAGTTTGAATCTCAGAATTCTGACTTT